AAAAGAAATATTTGGTTTCGACATGGATGTCACTACTATGATGTGAAGAAGCGAGGACAATTGTCGAAAACAAATTAACTGAAGTAATATTTTAGTTACAGTTTCCAGGGGTCGCAGCGGCCTATGTCTGAAAATCAGGAAAACAGGCAGGACAAATTTTTGGAAAAAAATATGAAATTTCGATTAAAATCAGGACATTTTAAGTCTTATCATAGTACTATTGTTCAGGATGGGTGCACAAAAGTATGTCAATCAATGATAGTTCATTGAAATTACTAGATTATATTTCGTCGAATACATTTGTCAAGTTCTGCTTTTTCCTTTTCGTTCACTATCTCTAATTATGCATTGTGTATACGTTTTCTTTTCCTCAGACACGTGGCTTACGGAAGGGGGCATCCATTACCATTGGAGTGCCATTTGTTCTTAGTCGAAATCACATTTTTATCCGGAAAATAGCCGTAAAAAAGAAATAAGAAAAATCCGCATTTTCGCAGTTTTTAAGGTTCTATAAGCATCATTTCGGCACTCGAACTATTTTCCTGCATCACGCTTCCTCCCCCCNGTGTCAACGGATACAGTCTTTGCTTAATTTCTTTCGTATGTGATCATCTAGTCGCTACAACTTGACATTTTTGTCTCTATTATTAGTAGATGCCAACGGAAAAAGACCCAGTATTAGTACCACCACCACTTCGTCTGAGCCGAAATGAAATCGTATATGTATGATCGATCGTGGCAGGAAACGTCTGAAGGAGGTAATCGCCGCTACCGCTGTTGCAGCTATCCTGGAAGCAATTTCCCGAAAAGCAACTACCGTATATTAAATATCCGCCAGAACTGGCACATCCAGATGAACACCATAAAGACCAGTATGGAAGTAGTACCGACGAGTAGTCAAAGCCGGGATTTTGAAGTAGTTCAGTGTAAGTAGCAATAGTGTCAACAACTGTGACGCTATCCAAATAAAATATACGATTGGTGTTAGGGGTTGAGAAAACTAATGTGGGCGTCGCCTTATTTGCTGAATAATTGTATCGATATAATGTCCAAACATTAATTGCACCAGTAAATGATTGCAAAATTACAATTTCCGGTGGTGGACACAACGTCACTATTATGTATGCATATAGAAAAGCTTAAGTATACACAAAATGCACATGGTTTACTTGTCTGTGTTAACACGGGTGCAGTGACCACTGACGTGGCACTTGTTGCTGTTTCTGCTGAAAAGAAAAATAAGCACGACTCCTCTGTATATTCTGAAAAAATATAGAAGAACAGTAGGAAACAGATTTTGTTTATATCAACGCCATGCCATTACTATATCCTCATTGCTAACCCACACTCAAATTGACGCACAGTAGTATTTACTTACATGTTGTCGCAGCCGAATCCGAAGTTGTTTCAGTGATTATTGTGAGTAAAGTGATCATTGTGCTTGAAGATAGGTTTGTATTTGATATATCAGTACTTGTGTTGTTAATCATACCTACAGAATTGAGAAAGTTAGGCATACATGCATAAATAAATTTTTATAGAAGAGAAAAAGCTATCGTTTACGCATTTATGCATATATTTCAGTTTTCACAAACGTCAACTTACAGACAGATGCTGGATACATGATAAAAGCAATCAATTCTTACTTTGCTTGAATAATTGTTTTTCATATTGCTAGACATGTGTAATGCTCAGACAATTCTGAGAAAAATTAGGCTCGTGCACGTCTTTACTCAAAAAAGATTTACAATAATGACAAATCCAATTCTCTTATACTCTTTAAGACAAAAAGCCAGCCATCAAACAGTACTACTTATTCGTTTGAACTCATTCTTGAGGTGAATCATACGTCACCGAATTCTTTCCCTATGCCGTTGCATTCATATTTTTATGTTCGTAGATTTATTAAGAAAATTACAAGTTGAGACTACATGTTAAGTACATCTGACATTTTCTTACGTTTTGTGCAGCTGGCTGTTGCCGAGAATTAAGATCAGGATGTCAATTTTATTGGAATTTTCTCGCTATGATAATTTGAAAATGTTAATTACAGTTATTCTGATCGTTCCATTTGACTTATATGTGTTCTGTATTTTTATGAGTAAAGACTTGAATATATACCAATTTAAATTTGTTGCCACCCTTTCATAAATACAATACTTCGTATTTGAAACACAAAAACGCTTTATTCAATAAAAACTAAATTTTCATTTACATCTTTGCAAGTAGCACTAGGATAAATCCACGATAGAAGTACCGCCTTCCGGCGCATATTGTCTACTCGAACTTTTTTCATGCTAATGAGATGAGAAATGACTGAAAAATATTTTAAGTCAAAAGAACACGGCAATATCCTCATATCTACTCAAACAATAAAGCAAAGAGACCTTTGAAAATTTTTGACATAATCCGTTCTGTTGAACATTTTACGCTGATCAAATAGGTAAAACGTTTTTTCTATCTTCATGAAAAAGTGACGATATTGTGTTCAACAGACTAAAAATACAGAATTGAGCGAATACTGTAAAGATCACTATTGTGTTTTTGTCGAAGACGGTCTTTTTCAATATTTTTATCCTAGTATCGTCGTTTTTCGATGAAACTCGAATAATCAGTTTTATCAAAATGATTGCCGTTAAGTGCTCTGTGGAACAGGTTATGCCAAAAATTTTCATAGACCAGATTTTCTTGTTAGTTAAGTATTCATGAGAATAATGGCATGTTTACAAGAATGATCTGAATCTCCGACAATTTTACATTGAAGTGCCATATTTTTGATTAAACACGTTTACTAGTCGCTTCCCATCCAACTGGCATGGCAAGAGTCGAATAGAAAAATAGTTTTCGAAAGTTGGTACTTTATCCATGGAGTTTCCTGCTACAGGTTTCATTGTTAAACGTAATTCGGAAACTTCTAAGTGAAATGTGTGTTCGATGATTGAATGTTAACTAGTCTCATTTGGGTCTGAGTCTGGTGAATGCACGAAATCAGAGAAGATCAAACAACGAAAATGTGTCTCAAAAAATGAAAGACGTTGATGTCTTCAGTATTTCACAAATGCTAATAATGATTGACTGTAATAGTTTCTTCAACATCATTTTTGTTTGTCGCAGTAATATTTCGGAGTTTTCGCAAAATTTTCTCGATTATATAATATGAGAGTTAGTTTCTCTAAGCAACCGTTATTTCAGTTGTTCTTTAATTCTAGCAATTTAGTTTTTCTCTCTGTAAAGCAGCATTCTTTCTTTTCATTCCACAATTAATGAAAAATGAAGACGTAATGCGATTCTTCTGTTACTCATTTCTTCTGCCTATCATTAGCGTTGTGTGTGATGTTTTAGTTCTCTGACAGTATAAAGAACGCGAGATTTCATTAATATACTAGAAACACATATTTACTTTCATTGGATTTTTCTTGCAAATAAAGTGTCAACAGTGCTGCCAGGCCAATTCCTGCAAGTAATGCTCCGACAAGAGCCATCACAAGAAAGGTTTTGCATTCAGAGCAACAGCTGCAGTCAAAACATAAAAGAATATGAATACAAATAGAAAAAGAAAAAAGTATATTACCTGTAAAACCCTCCTTTTCTGTTGATTTTTAACTCCTGTTCCTTTTCATCCGTTTTTTCTGGGTGTGATATTATATTTGTGTCCCAGACACTCAGTTTCGATACCATGGCTTGAAATAAGAACCAAACAACTTGATAGTATGACTTCTACAGTTTGACGAATGGTTAGATATTGAAGATTTGAAAGAAAATGACTATAGTGACATTTTACAAAGTGAGGGATGCAGCAAATGAATTACAATTCTTTGTATTTTTTTTCTACAACACATCTTGCACCACATAATTAAATTTCTTATGTATACACAACAGCATTATAATTTTTTTTGTCATGAACCGATTCAAGCTATGGTTTCATTAATCAACAAATCGAATTAAACNTTTTTATAGTCAAAATGATCAGCGAAAAAAGCTCTACAAATGCTGAAAGTTTGACGCGATTTCAACGAGTTCACTGTAATGATGGTAGGATTCCCACGGAATTACCCTATTGTACAACCATTCACAATGACATTCGTTCGAGCCAGTCTGTTTAACAAAGCCAATGTTACTAATGGTCAGCGAGAGAAAGTGTTACTCTCTAGTACGATTTCAATCCTAGATAATGAATAAAACATTTAAGTACTGGCATCAGACGAATTCTGAGAATTTTTCGAATTAGTCTTGGTTTTTTTCACGAGTTCTAGTTGTATTTTAAAGTTTTCTTGGGCTTGTTATGGCAGATTCGAGATATGGTGATCTTTGTCAATTGAGAATGTTCAGGAATAGTTTGAATTTGATCGAAATCTAACGGACACCGATTGAAGAAGCTGATCCAGACAGAATAGATCCTGACTGTGCCGATATATACGTCACGACTCGCTGCTCTTCTTATTTCCTCTTTCCTCTTCTTCTCACTATTGTTCTTCCTATGTCATCTCTCTCTCTCTCTTTGTTTCTCTATCATATATAAGCGTATATTCTGTATGAAGTAGACACATTCTGGAGACTTAAAGTAGCGAATAAATATCATTGCCGAGGGTAGCGGATAGCTACTTCGCCAGTCTGTCACTACATCTCTCACTCTATGTATCGTTACACTGGCGATCTCAAATTGGTCAAGTTAAATATCTGGCATGTTTGCTTCGTGTAGACGTTCTTTTAAGATCGATTGTACAAACGAATGCTTTTTTCTAAATGGGAGACGATGATATGTTACTACTTCATCAGCGTGTTTTTTTGCAATTGTTTGATCAGCTTATCAAAAAGGTCATTGTTATCGCATCCTCGAACGAAGCACGCTCAAGGATTTAGATAAGGACAACCTATATATGTCAGAGGGATAGAGCGCATTGTTTTATTTTATTGCATTTCGAAGATCTGTTATACAACATTGTTGAAAACAACAAGTAACCTTCGCAAGCATAAACAACTCTACAAACATACAGTGCTAAATGAGTATGGCTTTAGAAATGGAATCGAACACTGCGAATGGTGCTGAGCCGCAGATTGCCGGGCCAATAGACGAGTTCAATGAACCTGAACCGACAACCGAAGAGCAGTCAATATTGGAACATATTTCTGATCGAATACCGTTATCAGTCTGGCTAATTGTCATTTGTGAATTGTGTGAACGTTTCGCTTTCTATGGAATCTCTGGTCTTTTTCAAAATTACATTCAATTTCCGTTACCTACTGTAAATGATACACAACCCGGTGCTCTCAATCGTGGACAGCAGACTGCCACTGCATTGACAATGTTTTTTCGATTTTTTGCTTATATTACGCCGATCGTTGGTGCTATACTAGCCGATCAGTTCTGGGGCAAATACAAGACTATTATTGTTTCATGTGCGATCTATATGGTTGGCCTTGTTATACTTCTTCTAACCAGTATACCACCATCTATTGATAAAGGTGTCGCCTTTCCTGGTTTAATCATAGCAATGGTTATTTTGGGTTTTGGTACCGGTGGTGTAAAGAGTAATGTGAGTCCATTGATGGCTGAACAATATTCTAGGACAAAATCAGTTGTCAAAGGTAACTGAAAAGTCTTTTCGAAAGAAGTATTCCTTTTCTTGGCTCTTTTGTAGTAATAAAAGGCAAAAGGAAAATTATTGATCCAAGCGTGTAAGTTGATTGAACATTTATCAGCTTATTTCTTGGACTACATTTTTCGTATTTCAGAACGATGCAATCGATGTTCAATTGGTTTTATTGGGCGATTAATATTGGCTCACTTTCACTGATTGCTACTACAAATATTGAAAAGTATCATTCATTTTGGCTTGCGTTTCTTCTACCCACGGTCGCATTCATTGCTGCCATCGTTGTCTTGGTGATCGGTCGCAATCAATACATTCAAAAACCTCCGTCTGGTTCATTGATGATTCGCGCTGCTCGAGTGACAGTGACTGCCATTCGAATGCGACGGAAATTGGGTAAACAACCAGATCGGCCAGATTTGTTGGATTACGCCAAAGACATGTCGTCGGCGAGCGATTTGAATGAAAAAGAGACGGTTTCAAAATTAAGCAACAATGAGTTTATTGATGATCTCAAAAAAGCAGTGCGTGCTTGTCGTGTTTTTGCTTTCTATCCGTTCTATTGGATCTGCTACAATCAGTTTGGAACCAATTTAGTATCTCAAGCTGCGCAAATGAACGTTGGTGAGTTCATAATTCCTTTTAAAATAATCAAAACAAACAGAATGTTATCCAATCTTTGATTTTCTTCAGGTCCTCTGCCTAATGATATTTTACAAAATATCGATCCGCTTGTTATTGTTGTTTTCATTCCGATCTTTGACAAATTGATTTATCCTGGCTTGCGACGATGTAAAATCAATTTTCCAGCTATTTCCCGTATTGCTGCTGGTTTCTTCTGTGTTTCTCTTGGCATGGCATGGTCAGCAATCGTTCAACATCTAATCTATATTACTGGGCCGAACTTCGATTATGTGCCCGAACCCTGTAAAGAGTGTCAACAATATAACAATATTACTGTAGCTTGGCAAATTCCAGCATATTTTTTCATTGCCATCTCCGAAATCTTCGCTTCTGTTACTGGTCTTGAGTATGCGTTTACAGAGGCACCAAAGTCTATGAAATCCATCGTAATGTCACTTTACTTATTCACATCGGCTATCGGCAGTATCCTGAATATTGCACTTGTACCAGTATCAGAGGATCCAAAACTACTGTGGATGTATGCAGCGTTGGCAATTCAGGCATTCGTCTTCGGTGTTCTATTTTACTTTGCTTTTCGAAACGATCAAAAAGTACACGTAGAAGAAGAAGCAGTCACGAAATAATTTATATCCCTCTTTTTCTTAGTACCTACTCTCTAAAAAAAAAAGTGTCGGACAGAACCATCCTTCAGTATAATTCTATGAACCTTTTTTTCAGTTCTATACATGTTCGGCAGAACTGAAAAAGGTTCAGCCAATAAGTCTACCTTTTTGGTTCTGCCCATGGACGGAACCAAAAAATAGTTCTATCCGGCACCTTTTTTTATTAGAAAGTAGTTTTATAGTGTAGAGTGTGGGCGTGGGTACAGGTGTTGGTCTGAATCGACCATAGACACACACACCCAGACCCTAACTGTCAGAAGGAAATCCTTCGCTTGCTTTTTTCGGTGACAGTATACTGTTGCAATCTATAATTAATATATAATACATTTCCTATTTGTCTCTGGCTGGTTACATTGGAATGTTTTCAAAATAGCAATATCACCATTTAGAAAACTTTGACCTAGCTTGATCTATCAACTCATGAATAAAATCAATTCAAAGGCTTAATTTCCTTGACGAAATCCTATCTGAACAGATGCCATGTGAGCTACTGAAAAAGAACAACAAGGAGAAGAAAGAACATTTTTTAAAACTCTATTCAAAATTGTTCCATCGTTCTTTGTTTCTCTTTTCGATGGATGACGATAATCTTTTCCTTTTTCTGACGAAGTTCATCAAATCTTCTATAGTAACGAAGCAATCAGTCACAAAAAGAAACACACAAATGCATGTAGAGAACAAAGAAGGCGACGAATTCTATTTGTTTGTGTTCAGTTATTATCTCATTTCGAACACCTGTAAGTATTGTTAATCATGTAGTAATTTTTGTTCTACCGAAACTACCACCAACATTATGATGGATAAGCAAAATAAAAGATCAACACAGTGCGGATATCAGTGTCTCGATTCAATTGAGACCAACATCCACAAACACCAGAATTTTAAGCTTTTGGCTTGAAATATCGATGAATTTCAGGGGGGGGGGAGTAGAAGGACTTCTGGCGAGCAGTATAGTTCTTTTCTTGAGCTTGCAGGGCATGTTAAAATGATGAAGTAGATATCTCTAAGGGGTAGGATTGGAGAACAAAAAGTTTCAGAAATAAGTCTACACGCACCATTTTCATACTCAGTTACGCAAAAGATAAATCCTCAGTTTTCAAACTTTTTTTTTGATTCTATAACAAGACGAATAGTAATTCAGTAATCAGTGAAAATATGCCCCTCAATCAATAGTCCATGATATAGCAGCCGATACTATCACAACTCGTCGCAACCAAAGACTAAAATGAGTAAAGAAAATGAAACTTCGACTCGACTCGGTTTCGACCTCTAGTCGCGACAATGTAGGTTAATTGCTGATTTGAAAATCACGTTTCATTATCTTATCGATTACTTTGTTTATGACAGAAGATTTTTGATAAATGTTGAAGTATATTGTAAGAAATATTGACCTAATCAAGAGTCGACTGGGACTTGAACCAAAGCACTTTAAGAGGTCAGACTCAGGATTGAGGTCGAGACGAAGACAAACTAGTTAAAGAGAATAAAAATTCAGTTAAGTAGTCTCGTAAGTAAACTACAGCATTCGGTGACTGGATCACTTAGCCATAAGATGATCAGTTCTGAGCATTTCATCGTGACCATTTCTTTACAGACTATTGGTCGCATTGCATATTGGTGTACATAAGTATTCAGTGGTCATATCAGACAAACGATCTGTAACTACGGTTGATTTCCAAAAATATACAATGAAGAAATGAAACGTGAATCAAGTAATAAATTTAAAACATGCCATATAAGAGTCAACAATGTTTAGGTTTCGAAAAAATGAAAATTAAGCCATTTGCTCTTTCAAGTGCGGAAGTGGGCGTGTTCGAAAACAAACATCTCACCTATGTTTATACTCTGACGAACACACGTTGATTCCTACACCCATACGCCAGACTTTGCCGCGCATTAAACTTGTCAATAAAAATGAGTTCATTGATGGGGGTCCCTTGATAAATATTGCAAAACTGTGAGTTACTCTTGTAACGTAAGTTATTCTCGAGGGACACGTATCGCAAATGATAGTTGTGCTGATAGGAGTGAATCATTAGTATCCTGAATAACAAATCGAAACAGAATAGAAGCTTCGACATTCGATGTCGAAATTCTTCACTTATCGTTCAGTTTGTAACAGATTCAATCGTGCTATTTTGATTGTTTCGACTTAAAAGTGAGGCATCTACTGTAAATTGGAAATGCCATTTTGAATTCGTTTTGGCTGAGTTTAATATAATTCAGTTACAGAATAACTTACAGGCCATCTCTTTACTTTTGATCATTGGCTTCGTAGCTGCTGCCTAACATTCTCTTGTCTCGAAGGTACAGAAGACAAGCCTCTCTTTTGATGTCAGCTCTCGGTCTATTTTTTATACCTGAAATACTCTACAGGATTTGTGAAATTTTTCTGTCATGCTTAACGCTTAAAATCCATCTATTGCTAAGTCCAAAGGACAGAAAGATGGGTAAAGCGTTTGACAACGGATTTTCTTTGACCTTCAGCTTCAAATGTTTTCGGCCGAGATTTGATATATAGCATAAGGGAACTATATACGCAACTTATTATAATCACTGCTCTTCTAATCCTTGCCGTGCTCTTATCAATAGATGTAAGGTCAAATGGAAATAAAATACCACGCATGCGCCATAGCTGATTACACAAGTACGAAAAATGCGCTGTATTACTGCTTTGGTCGTTTTTGTCCCCCTAACCACATTACACGCTCACCACATAGATACACAACAGATTTCGTTCGATACGGTAATAGTCTTTGGCGACTCGCGCTCGGATACAGACAATGTTTATAATTTAATAAACCAACATTGACCTCGGCCACCATATTTTCAAGGTCGATTTTCGAATGGTTCTATATAGGTGGATAAGTTAGGTGTATTCACTATCATTAGTTATGCATATGGTGCTGCTACGACTGATAACAACTTCATTCAAAACATCATGTGATCACAATCAATGCATACACTTGGTGCTCAACAACAAATTGCGACTTACTTGAACAGAACTGATACGACTACAATCAACTTGAGTCGCACACTTTTATTGTTTGGGTCGGTAGTAATGAGGATGTGGGGTGGAGTGTTGATGTGAATCTTTGCTTCAAAAAGAGCCATACCCACCCACAGTCTGTTCAACTAAAGTATATTAGTTCTCATTTTTTCTCAAGCCTGCTTCGCAGTTACATTTCGGAAATAGTCTTCAACGTCAGTGTTTCAGTTGCTATTATTGGTATTCTGCCGCTTGATTTACTTCAAAGTTTCGAGCAATCGATCTAGTTTTCAATATTAGAAAAAACGCCATCTATCTGCAGCTTTCTATATACTGCTTAATCATACTGGCTGACGAACGTGACCCAAGCAGGCCGTAAAAAGTCAGTGAAGGTGCGGCGAGTGGTCGAAACTTGAAATAGATATTTTTGTTCTCGTTCTGTTTGATATTTGAGCTCATCGAAAATTGATCCTCGAAATCCTTCTCCTAGAGTACATTGATTTTCGACTGCTTAGATCGATTTCGACCACTCGATAACCATCGAATTATCGAGTAGTCGAAATGGCAAAGTATATCGGAAAGCTACTGTCGATTGCCTGATGTAATTTGCACCTCTCGAAGGTTATCGAAAATGCCATAGTTCAATGAGAACAACCTGGCGATAAAAGAATTTTTGCTATTTAGTTTAATTTTGAGTCATGGAAACTTCTTTGAGATTTGTTTGTTAGCAATGCTACACTTTCGATTTACTATTTCATCCAATTAATTATTTTCTGTTTTAGGCGTACATATGATTTCATGGTTTTCAGAAAAATAATATGAATATATATATGCCTTTCTTATTAAAAATGAATCATTATGAACTAGAGTGTGGATTGTGGGATATGGGTGTGAATGGATGTCGCCGAGGACAAGAGCTAGACCCACACCCACACCCACACCCTTTTGTTGCTACTCGTTTGTTTCCAAGTTATCTATCAGCTGATGGCTATATCTGCAATAAGTGTCGTCCAATGTATAATAAATGGGAAGCCCTTTCGGAATGGTCTTGTCTTCAGCATACACCTTGCACAGAATATTTACCCACCTATTTGGCATCATTGTGTAGGTCTGAATGAGATCTGTCTATACTAAAGAATGGCGCCAGTTCTATGAATAATAGCGAAGATCATATGGATACAACCTCACCACCTATCCATTTTTCACTGGTGTGGCCTTCGGGAAACTTAGAGCGCAACACATATACCCACATATTTTAGCATCATTTTGCAGCTCTCAGTGAGATCTGTCTATGCTGAAAAAATGGCACTTTCTTAGACGACTCGAATCAGGGTTACAGGAGCGTCAGTATATCACTTTTAGCACCAATCTGCTATGGGTGTGGGTATGATTGTAGGTGTTGCGTATGGATATCCAGATGATTAGCAACTACGCCCACACAGACACTCACACCCACACCATCATAGCGCTGTCCTCCTGGAATAATATTATTTTCTACCCTGTATATAGATACTTACTTCACCGTCATGTATGGCAGAAAAAATATAGGGAAATTGCTTGAGAAAAAAGTATTATTACAAAACAAAGACCTTGGATTATATTTTGACTCCTTTTCTTCTTATGATTTTCAAAGAAATAAATATAAACAATAAGAAAGAGAATGAATTCAGAATCTTGCACATGATGAAATGTTGTATATTGACATTATCCACTTAGCGTTATGGTGGCTGTAGATCTACACTGAAAAAAAATGGTACCGTACGGAACCTAAAAGGGTTCCGAGATTTGCAACGAATTCTAAACCATTTTAGGTTTCGTACAAACCGGGTTCTGTACGAAACCCTTACTGAAAATGCCAAAAAGGGGTTTCGCACACTACCCTTCCTACTCAATGCAATCCTCAATTCACTAATCTCACCCACACAGATTTGAACCACACTATTAACGATATTTAAAACTCATATCATTCCCC